GGGGGCTCTCCAGTATGGTTCGGTATTTCGCCCGCTTGGGGGCATAAATGGCCAGAAACGGCTGGTCAGAACTTCTGTGGCAAGGTGTGTGGGTCTCATTTTGCCTTCGCAGGCCAAGCTAACGCTTCCGGACGTTAACGAGAAGCCCGGGAGGGGGACCCCGTTGGCAATGTAAGGTGCTGGGCGTTGGGTGATCACGGCGGTGTAAGGCAGATGTGGCGTAGTAGACTTTCGTGCTGGGTTTAACAGGTCTTAGCTTCCTCTACCAAAGTGGATTACTAAAACTTGGCGCTGTGATAAGATGGCCGACTTCACCACAGAAGTCTTTCGATTTTTGGCGGGAGATGACGGCTTATGTGTGGAGGGGGTGTTGTGTTCTGGGTGCTGTGGCCTTTTTGGACCGGAGTCTAATTTGTGGTGGCGGTGGTGGTGGTTTGGTTTTTCTGCGACTTGAATCCTATGGAGAGTAGCAGGGCTGGCGACTGGTGTTTGGGTTTTCCTTTTTTTTTTCTCGGACACCCAGCGTGAATGTTTTCATTCTTGTGTACTATGTGCTTCCTTCTCTCTATTCTGTTTTGGGTGCGACCATCGTTTGGATTTGTGCCAGCATGAGGCGACTCCTGCAGTAGCAAGGCGCAGACCTCGTGAGTGCACAGACGTTTTTTTAAAAAAAAACCAATGACCTGTATAGACGTACTGGCCGATTGTGGTATTGTCTATTATACCCTTGATATTTGCCTATAATCTAGTTTATTCTTTTATTATTGGGATTGTTGTCGGTCTTCTCTTTGCTTTGGTATATTCTCCATTGTCTATTTTGTTTTCTTCTTTCCCTTTCCCGAGTACATAAGCAGCTACGGATCCTTTTCATCTTGTAGCACATTATTGCTTTTTCTTCCTGCTTTTTTTTGTTGCCTGCCAACCTGAATTCAAGGGTTAAGGACAGAAGCGATGACCACCGTGTCGGATGAGCGCTTGGCTTTTATGCGGCGTCTTGGCATCACAGATGAGGATGTGCTCGAACCTTCTCCTGCGAAGACCGAAGTTGGTAAGAAAGGAAAATTGACGGAAAGTCATTTGGGCGGTGGCTCCATCCGTGAAACATCTCGGGATCCTGCTCTTCGCACAAGACCAAGGGCAGTGTTTCTGAACGCTGATATACCCGAATCCAGCGTAAAATCTTCACCCAAGGGGAATAATCTTCCGCGGATGATGAATGGGGAGGGAAGTACCAGTGGCCTTTCAGCTGAACAGCTAAAATCTAACGGGAACCAGGCGTTTGAAGAGGGACGCTACCGTGAGGCGCTGAATTGTTATACCGATGCCATTGAAATGCTTCTGGAATCGGGGAATTACCAACTAAGAGAACAGGGTTGTCTGAATACCAACACCAAGAGCCGTGGACCCATTGCTTCTGGGTTCAGTGCTGGTGATCCAAGAATTATCTTGCTTGCTGCTTTGTTCAGTAACCGTTCGGCGTGCTTTCTTCAGGCATCAAAACAAATAGGAGCTGCAGAAGCCCTGGAAAGCGCCATACGGGATGCCGATCGTGCGGTTGAACTTCGTCCATCGTGGTTCAAAGGGTACTCTCGGCAAGGGGATGCGTTCTTCAAAATGAAGAAGTACGCCCAGGCGGCGGAGACATACGAGATGGCATTGCAGCTTGACCCTGGGAACAAAAACCTTCTTCAGTCTGTGAGAGAAGCACGACAGCGTCATCTGACAGATGCACGTGAGAATGTTCATACTAGCAGAAAGCAGGCGGCACGAGAACGTACTGAGGGGAATGCTGCATCCGATGCAATAAGGCCAGTGGCGGTTCCTGCACCAATGAACGTTTCCGTCAATGACACTACTACTGGAAGGCGTGATAGTGGGCAGTACAAGGTAACCGCACGCCAACTTTGGAGGGAGCTCAAACACGAAGTGGAAGCTTCCGTTCAGCAACCTACAGGCGATGATTACCGAAGAGAGCAGTTGCGGCTATACCGTGAACAGAAAGAGCGGGAAAAGAATGGCTACTCACCGTTGCACAGTGAAGAACGCCACGCGAATGAGGAGCCTGTTCTAAATGAACACCCCAAAGGGGCGGGGACAACAGGAAGTACTGGGTTGGAGAGCAAAATTCTGCCCAGAAGGGAACACCTGGAAACCATACCCCAGGAGTTCTCGTCGGATGCTGCAGCGGCGTACCAGCAGCGCCTTCTTGAAGAGTATAGACGGAAGAAAGCACGACAAGTGTAGTCTTTTGTTATACCGTTTCTGATGTACTAATATTGCGGAAAATCACTGAATTTGCCATTTTCACTCCTGACAAAAGGTATGCAATGTAAGCGTAGGTGATTCCAATGGTGGAATTATACCAGAACTTTCTGTTTTGTTTTTGTTCTTGTATTGCAGGAGCCATGATGAAACTTTTCTAGCCCTGTTGATATTTTATACATGTGACATTTGTGGGCCTCTTTAACCCTTTTTATTTTTTTGCGCTGCTTTCCCAGTTGGGGGTTATAGAGTAGTCCCATGGCAACAGCATACCTACCGTACTACGATTGCATCAAATGTACCCTTCACGCAGCGCTGTGCATTGGCAACTATCCTTCGCGTACTGTTGAACGCCACAACAAGCCTGAAGTGGAGGTTGCTGACTGCGCGGAAAGCCTTGGTGAGGGAAAGGCCAGCGAGGTTGTTCTTAACCCCATCCACATTGTGCGCTCAGAGCAGGAAAGCTGTTTTATTGAACCTAGCATCAATAGTACGCGTATATCGGTTTCATTCCTTAAGACTGATGCTCTCGCCGAGCTGATTGCTCGGAAGTACGTAGGCTTCTTGGCCCAGAGGGCTAAGCAGTTCCATATATTAAGAAAGAAACCAATTCCAGGGTTTGACATAAGCTTTCTGATAACCCACGAAGAGGTGGAAACAATGCATAGGAGTAAAATAATTCAGTTTATCATCAGTTTCTTGATGGATATCGATGCAGACATTGCGGCAATGAAGTTGAACACTAACCAGAGGGCTCGACGAGCGGCAATGGAGTTCTTCCTCGCCTTGAACTTTACATGAGCCCCCGGGAAAATTATCTCCTCTTATCTGAGACGAAAGTATTAGATGTCTGTGCTTATATGTGTGTATGTGCTTTGTCAATGAGTCAGAGTCTTGGTGAACGACTTCATTTAGTTTTCTCGGGACTTTTAAAGACTTGCTTCAGTCCGCGTGAGTTTGTGTGTATGTGTGTGTGAGAGCCGTGAAGATCAGAGTGGTAGACGTGCAATCAAATAGTGTGCAAATAGTAATGGTATCAACGCGAAAGCTAGCTGAGATTTCAGCTCCGTCTACATGTAACTGCCTTCTTCCAGGCAGCTGCGCGGCAGATGGGAGTCAGTTCGACTTGGTGGCTGGTTGCTATGAGCTTTTAAAGGAGTCTGGGACATCTACTAATGGAGAACGATACCATGGCTGCGTTCATGGTTATGTGTGTGAAATCATCGAAAGAGAAAGGTGTTCGCTGCGCGAGGTGACCTCTGCCCTGGGGTCTGCTGAGCCTGCCAATCTCCCGGGTATATTCGACCTCACAGGCTGTAGTGATGAACAACACTTGATGGCAAGCTGCACAGACGGTGCTGTGCGTCTCTTGAGGTCTCGAGCAGGATTCGTTGAGGAGTCCGTCTTCCCTGTGCACGACACCATGTTGACAAGCTGCAGCCCTTTTTACCTCTCTGGCGGCAGTGCGGGGAGCGAGGCCAAGTGGCTCTGCACCGCCCATCAGGGGGCAGTTATCGTCTACGATGCAGTCACCAAGACAGCCGTCAGCAAGATCAGTGGCCATGACTACGATGCGTGGTGCTCTGCTACTACTAGTGCGGAATCCGCTCTCTCAGGTGGGGATGATGGCATGCTGAAGTGGTGGGATGTGCGACGTGGTAGCAACGCCGTAGGGAGAATGCAATTCGACGCCGGAGTGGTGTGTATTGCTCCCATTGCAGAGGATGGGACTGTCACAATGCATGCACTTGTTGGCTCATATGATGAAAAGTTATACCTCATAGACGCCCGATTCACAAAGCAGCCACTTGCCTCAGTTGCTCTGGGCGGTGGTGTGTGGCGTTGTTCGCGGCAGTTGTCTGTTGGGGGTTTGTCCACAGAGGCTGCCACAGCGATGCATTACTACCGCTGGGTACAATCGCGTAACATCTTGACCATTCCTGTTATGCAGCGTGGGGTGGCATTTGTCCGCTATAACGCTGTCGCGGCGGAGAAGGACGTTTTCTCTCTGCTAGGACATCTTCATCAAGAAGAAGGCTCGACCGAAGACGTAAGCTTGCCTACCAATGCCCTTTTCTATGATTGCGCCGTCATTCGTCATCCCACCCCGTCTGACACGGATGGCAACCATAATGTCTCAACTGTGGCCACCTGCGATTTCTACAACCAGAAGATTGCTCTGTGGGAGATTGATGGAATTGATCTCACGGTGTAACGACAGAGAAATTTTGGGGAATAAACAATACACAAGTTAAAAAAAAAACATTGGGGGAAAGGGGGTAAAACAACCCTATATATCGCTGCATTTATGCCCACCATGTGGTCTAAGACCAGCTTAATGATCTTGCAGAATGTATTTATGAGAGATTCTATTTGACGCCTCTTTTTTTTCTTGTTATTATCTGTTTCTCTTTTGTATTTTTCTCAGTTTGCGCTTTTAGTGCTGTGGAGAACTCGTGTGGTTAACACCGAGAACTGGACTAGAAAAGGGGTGTGGAGGAGGCTGTGAGAGGATTTTGTAAGCGGGTGTGTGGGTGTGGGTCGTTAGATGCGTCGAACGTTGTTCCGTAGGGCGCTGAAGGTTATGCGCGATGTGGAGGAGGCCACGGAGGTCCAAAGCACGCTTCGTTCTATGCCGTACAAGCAGAGGCTAAACTTTCTAGGTGCTCTACACGACGACGTTATGCGCCACGAGGCACATATCATGGAGGCGAACCGGTGGGACTGCGACGCGTTCGCGCAGCAGCAGCACAGTGCTGTCTCTACACGGCCATGCGTTGGCGAAGCTGCGTCGTTATCCTCTTCGTCATCACCATCGTTATTATCATCGGCATCGCTGATGCATGGCGCCCCTGCCCTCCTCGATGGCCGGTCGCAGGGGCTGCCGTATCGACGCCAGCGCATTGGTACCCACCACGAGCTGTCGCCGCTGCACATTAAGAAGCTGCTGACGGGGATTGAGGGGCTGATGCAGCTCCCCGACCCCATCGCGCCACCCACGGGCGACGTTGCCGTGACGCGCAGCAGCTGCGTTTCACGTGCGGTGTCAGTGCGGGATGTGCCGGTGCCGCTGGGCCTTGTTGGTATCCTCGCGCGCAACCGCCCGCGTGTGACGTTAGACGCAGTGGCTATGTGCATTCAGTCCGGCAACGCCGTCCTTATCGACGGCGGCGCGTCGGTGCTGCACACGAACAGGGCGATGATGGCCAGTGTGCGCCGCTCACTAGTCGCCGCGGACATTCCCACCGCCGCGGTGGTGTTCGTCGAGCCGAACGGTTCTGAACATGACGCGACGGCAAAGTGGCTGGAGGCGTCTGACAGTGTCGACCTCGGCATCGTCTGTGGCGATGCGCGGCTCTACCGCTTCGCCTGCCAGCACGCCACGATCCCGCTCATCAAGGCGGCGGGCCGAGCCTGCAGCCTCTACGTTGACAAGAGCGCTGATTACGAAACGGCGCTCGGGGTTGTGCTTAACGCCAAGTTTCAGCGGCCCAACGCGACCAATGCCATTCATACTCTCATACTGCACGAGGCGTACCCGCGATTCCACGAGCTGTTGCAGGCCCTCAAGTCGCGTGGTGTGTTGCTGCTCGGTGATGCTGCCGCGGAGGCGCTGGCTCCGAGCTGCATCGACGAGTTGGCATCAGAGGAGGTCTACAAGGGTCTCACAGAGGGGCTCCTCGACTTCCACCGCGTGCTCTGCGTCAAGACGGTGCGGGATGTCAAGTCTGCGGTTTACTTTTTGAATCGCTTCGGCTCGAAGCAGTCTGACGGCATCATTGCTACTGACGAGGACGTCATCCGCGAGTACTCTTGCCGCGTGGACACTGCGGTGGCGCTGGTGAACGCCTCAACACGGCTGTCAAGCGGCAGGGCGCTGGGCCGCGGTACTGATCTCGCGATTGCGACGTCCAAGGTACACTCGCGGGGCCCATTCACACTCTCTGCGCTCACGACGCGCAAAATTGTGGTGCGCTGCGCAGAGCCCGGCGGTGCCCTGCGCCTCTGAGAAGGCTCGGCCGCTGTCGGCAACAGTAATGGTCTCAAAAGCAGCAGCAGCAGTAGTATATATATATATATATATATACAAAATAAGCCCAATAAGAGGAGAAAAAACCAAAAAAAAGATGGAGTCAAAGGAGAGTATGTGACTGTATGTCTATGTCTATGTGTGTGTGTGTGT